TGCAGCACGGCACACAGGAGCCAGCAAACAGAACACAGGGCCCATGGGACATCATGGGCAGAGAGTTCATCCCCCATCTGGACAGCAGAAAGAGGCTCATTTCCCAGCTCATGAGCAGATGTGGAGAGAAACTGAGGTTTCCTATAAGACCCTGGAGTTTTCTGTCTCTGCCTGTCACTCTTCTTCCTCAGGAGTCCAGGATTTTTCCTTGTAATGCCATGGCTTCATTCATCTGTAATGGCATGGTTTAGGACCTGCATTGTATTCGAAATTAAGCCTTAATTGTTTTCACTTTTCTCCTATGCACAAACTTGCAGTAAACATTTGAAGTATGAAATTGACAAACCGCCATCCACAACATATGCCATTGTTGGCTTTCTGTTTCCTACACTGTGTTGGTCAATCAGGAGAAAACACTTCGCTGGAGAGATAACTGTGTATGTTCTGGGGGTTTGTTTAGCCCCTGTATTTTGCCTGCCTTGTGTTGAGAAGAAGCTTCATTTCAGTGTTTTCTCCCATCCACCTGGATACTGGCAGTCCACCCTGAGATGGTTCCTCTTCCTTACTGTTCTATCAAAAGCTCCTGGTCTCCTGGACATCCACACAACAGGACAGCAGTCCCTTTGTCTCTTCTCATGCTTGGTGAATCAGCTCCTTCTTCTCATTCTCACTGAAGACAGATGTGTTTCTGCAGCTGACCATGCTCCTGACAACACCCTGGTCTCTGTGGGAGCACCCCACCTCTGGCTCTTGTCTCTTGAGTGGAGGAATAACACTTCTCCATACAGCTGTTTCTCCTGGTGTGGCAGAGTGAGCATCATCTGCTCTCCCTGGGGTTGCATGGCAGGGGCTGGTCAGGAGCTCATAACTGTGCACCTACATCCTGTGGATAGACTTGGGTTCATCCTGTCAGCCAGGTGCTGGGTTTCTGCCAAGGTGAGAGGTTGGACCAAGGGCCAAGCCTCAGTTTGTCCTGCAGCCTTGGTTGTGAGAACTCTCAGTAGGCCCCAGTGCTTAGAAAGGTTGTTATTGTCATGGTATGTAAACCAACACAGAGCTTAGAACTCAATGACATTGTACCTTCCAATTCAGTGTTTGTCATGGATACAATTTTCATTCAGTTTTTTTTTTTTTTTTAAAGATGTGTTTAAATATACTTGTTTATTGGCATTGGAATAGATGGACAACACATAGAAGAATAAGTATTGGAATGACTATCTCATGCTATAAATATAACTGAATTTAATTCAGTTAATTAAAGTAATAACATAGAAGAAATGGGTGCTTGTGAGTGAACACAGTGTTAGTTTTAGCATATGCACAAGTATTTATCAGCAGCAGGGGTTTATGTTTGGTTTTTCCTGCAAGGAATTGTTCTTACATTCTTGGATCTGTGATTTTATATCTGTCATTCATTTTAGAACATGTGTGACTATTTTTCTTTCAATACATTTTTCCATACCTGTTCTTTTACTTCTACCTTTTGGATTCCAATCACATTTATATGACACTATTAGGTACTAATTTTCTTTTGTCTTCATGATTATTTTGCTGGTGTAGTTCCTTGCACCTATTTTCAACTCCATGATTTCTTTCTTTCTTTATGTATTTGTTTTTATTTTTTTATTCATATTATGGGGGTACAAATATTGTTACGGTTACGTATATTGCCCCTGCCCCCCATCCCACTATGCCAGAGCTTCTAGCGTGTCCAGCCTCCAGGTAGTGCAAACTGAACCCACTGTGTAAGTACATACTCTTCCCCTCCTCCCCCCTTCCACCTGCCCACTTCCCGATTATTTTTCCAGATATTTTGATTTTTTTTCCAGAAATTTTGGTTACAATGTATATCTTTACCTCTCCCTAAAAAGGGATAGAGGTAATTTCTTCCTCCTCCACAACGCTCACCACTTCCTTAGGATATGGGTCTCCCCCTGCAAATCCCTATTGAACAATACCATTTTTTGAGCACCACAAGCATTATTTACAGATCTAGAAAAAACAATTCTTTGCTTTGTATGGAACCAGAGAAAACCACATATAGCCAAAGAAATCTTAAGTAAAAATAACAAACTGAGAGGCATCAGTCTTCCTGATTTCAAACTGTACTATAAAGCAATAATAGTTAAATCTGTCTGGTACTAGCCCAAGAACAGAAGGATCAATATTTGGAATAGATCTGAGATTCCAGAGATAAAACCATTTGTATACGGTGACCTAATCTTCAATAAAGCAGACAAAAATATACTTTGGGGAAAGATTCTGTCTTCAATAAATGGTGCTGGGAAAACTGGTTAGCAACATGCAGAAGAGCGAATCAGGATCCCAACCTCTCACCTCTCACAAAAATTCACTCAAGATGGATAACAGATCTAAACCTAAGGCATGAAACTTTAAGAATCCTAGAAGAAGATGTTGAGAAAACCCTATCAGATACTGGTCTAGGCAAAGCTCATGATTTCTTTCAAAAAAGGAGACAACCCAGCTGGTTTGTTTGTCCAAGGCCTATTTGTACTGAATTCTTTCTGAATACCAAATGCCTTTCCAATTCACTCTTCCTTACAATCCACATTTTTCTACCTAAGTTAATTACCTTGTTTTCTAGTATAATTATGTTCCCTTAAATATTTTAACACATTAATAATACATACTGCCTTTGTATTTCCTAATTAAGACAGTTGTAATATATCTCATGTACAAACATTGTCATAATTCATCCATTATGAATTTGAGTTTCAATTTGGGACACTATAATTTTTTCTGACTGCCAGACATGATTGTTTTACTTTTGCCATTGACTTATTATTTCATTTCATGTACTTTTTCTCCTGTATATATCCACACCTCACATTTCCCAGGACTGTACTGTGCAAGTTTGCGTGACTCTAGTCAGACTTGTATTTGAAATTTATTGTTGAAGTGGCTCCAAGTTTTGAAGGTTTTCTGTGCTATGGGCACAAAAGGGTTTAGATGCCTTCACTGATACATAGTATGTGCTTCCTGCTTGACTTTCTGGTAACATCCCATGTTGTAGAGACAATCTGTTTCCTTGTCCAGGTTAGTCTAGATTTTGCATTTACCTGACACTTGTTGAGTGATGATAGAGGTTGTCCTAAAAGGCCTTCTCTGACTTCCTCCCTGAGCCAGGTTCCTCGGAAGACATCATGCCCCTTGGTCTGCACTGTGACCTTGCATGTTGTCCTGTCCCTCCAAAGAGGTGATGCTGCCCTGGTACCCTTCTAAATGTCTTTCTTTTCCCGGTTCTTGTCTCCCACAGCTTGGGCAGTTTTCCATCAGCCCCTACAGCTTCCAGATTTGCTGCCTATCCCTGACAATATAGCCTTTGTTCCCATGATAGAGTAGAGAAGTGTTTCTGGCATAACTTAAGTGGTGATATGTCTTCCAATCCCATTTCCTCCCAGGTTTCCTAGTGGCTAGGGCACTGATTTCTGCCTCTTATCCCCAGAATGGTAATTCTATAGATCTGTAGAGGAAAGGAGGGGAGGGTCTGAATGCATTTCAGAAACCTGTTCTCCCTCCCTCGCAGACAGAACCATCAGTAAGAGCACCACCTTACCATGTCTCCCCAATCCTGGAGGAAGTGACCTAAAGGAAACAGAAAAGGAATTCCCCAAACATGTGACCACTATAAAATTTGAACTGTAATCCCTTTACTATATCCAGCTTCCATCAATCCAATGTCTATGTCCAGCATAGTCTTGTCCTAGCCAACATGCCATCTAGTGGAATGTGCTTATAAGCTAATCCTCTGGTCCTGGTTCTCCCTTCAAATACTGGTCTCTCTGTAGATTTCAGGTTTGCTGTTTTTCATATAACTTCAATTACCTGAAATATTAAATAAAATGTGCTCATCTTCAGCTTCTGCAGTCATGCTTTATATATGGTGATGATGTTGCTATTGTTTTGGTTGATGTAGAAGAAGAGATTTTTTTATCAGCTGCCTCCTTCTTCCAGGTGAAGAGAAACTTTATCCATAATAGTAATGAATTGGAAGCAATCACAACATTAATCAGTGGCTTAATAGACAAGTATTTTTTGTAAATGATCCATTAGAACACTACCCATCATTAACAACAATGACAGTTTCATGCACACTGCAGCGTGGCTGCATCCACAGTATGCACTGTGAGTAAAATAAGCAAAAAATCACCTGCTACATAATTCCACTATTATAAATTCTAGAAAGTGCAAGCTGAAGTAACATAAACTACATTGACAGTTGTCTGGGTAAATGGAGGGAGGGGGAAGGAGAAATGAGGAGAAATTTTAGAAGGACCAGTGTAAACACTGAGGGAACTCAATATCCACAATATCCCAGACAGGGTGACGCTGCTGTCAGCATCTTTCAGTGTGGAATTTCACTATGTTAAGGCCATTGTATACCAGCTATGCCTCATTAAAGTTAATATGAACATTTAGTAGATTATTTGTTGAGGAAGACATGGTGAACAAATATAAAATAATTCAAAATTTAGGTACTTTAATATATACCTGCATTCAGCCTGTCTATTCTAGGTTTTTACTTTTTTTAAGAAAAAAAAATAGAGGCAAGTAATTTGCTTTGCATTCTTTCTTATTCTGGAATTGGGGTTCTAGAAACCACCCTGTGAATGTCCAGCTCTGCTCTGCAGTGGGTTCCAAGGATGTCATCATAGAACAGACATTGAAAAGAATTCTTCCAATGTATGTGTTCCTGGACATATCTCACATCTTCTATATGTGTCTGGGGTTACTTCCACATCTGTAAAATATGTGGAAACATCACACCTACAGCACACAATTTGTATGTGTTTCTAAATTACATAAGTGAACAAGACATAATTATTTATCACATTAAAGTCTCACAGTTTTTCTCTGGGCTCTCACCTCCCTCAGGCTTCTCCAACCAGAGCTTGCTATATAGCAGGGGACATGCAAATAGGGCCCTCCCTCTGCTGATGAAAACCAGCCCAGCCCTCACCCTGCAGCTCTGGGAGAGGAACTCCAGCCCCAGCATTCCCAGGTGTCCCCATTTGGTGATCAGGACTGAACACAGAGACTCACCATGGAGTCTCGGCTGATCTGGGTTTTCCTCCTTGCACTGTTACAAGGTAATTCATGGAGAAGTATAGATATTTGGTGTCTGAGGGGATGTGACTGAGAGAAACAGGGTGTGTGTTACTGTTTCTGACTAGGATGTGTCTGTGTTTGCAGGTGTCCAGTGTGAGGTGCAGCTGCTGGAGTCTGGGGGAGGCTTGGTACAGCCTGGGGGGTCCCTGAGACTCTCCTGTGCAGCCTCTGGATTCACCTTCAGTGGTTCCTGGATGCACTGGGTCCGCCAGGCTCCAGGGAAGGGGCTGGAGTGGGTCTCATACATTAATGGTGATGGTGGTAGCACAAACTACGCAGACGCTGTCAAGGGCCGATTCACCATCTCCAGAGACAACAGCAAGAACTCGCTGTATCTACAAATGAACAGTCTGAAAGCCGAGGACACAGCCATGTACTACTGTGCCAGAGACACAACGAGGGGACCTCAGTGTGATCCCAGACACAAACCTCCTGTGGGGACGTGCAGGGCCACCAGGGTGGAGTGTGGGACCCTGGAAGCCTAAAAAAAAGCCGAGAGGCAAGTGCAGGTGGCCAATAACAGTTGGTTTCCTGCCAGAGTCTGGGGCTTCCTGTCTAGAAATGTCATCCTCAGACCTATCTTTCAAGGCTATGTGCTTGTCACTGTAGCATCTGAATTAGAAATGTCTTGTTGTAGTAAATGAACACATTCTGCCCTGGACATAAGGCAGAATTCAATCACATGGGAAGAAATGATCCTGTCATGTTCAACTGGATCAGAGTCTAGAGGAAGCCCAGAGGACCTTCTTAGCATTTTCCAAACTGACTCAGTGCATAGACCTCAGCAGGACTCCCTGAGTGGGACAGTATTTGGGATTCACATTAGGACATGTAGGGACCTCGGCCAAGGTCAGTGTCTCATAAAACCTAAGGTTTCAAATTGTTCCCTCTTCATTTAGAACTGTGAAATCTTGTTGCATAACTGATTTAGTTGTAGCTGTTTCTGCAAGTCCATTTTCTTTCTGTCTAGGTTCTGTTTTCACATCTTCCTCTTCTTCTTCCCCCAGAAAATGGAGGATGTGGTCTCTGTGTCTACATCCCATGGGTGAGGTACTTTACCTGGAGGTCAGGTGTGGTCCATGCTGTGGCTCATCTGGGACCTGGGAAACATTGATGGGATTGTCTCACCCACCATTGCTGGGACCCTCCTGCTGTCACCTGTTCATGGACTCACTTTGTAAATGCAAGTGACCATTAGTATCTGAGAGAATAAAATTGATTAGTCAACTGGGATGTGTCTCTCAAAGAGTCACAGTCACCACCTATGGCACTGGGGAGACCTGTACATGGAACCTCATTGTGCTGAGTGCTCTGAGGTGGCATCAAGTTCTGTGTGAGTGGTGTCCTTGTGGACCGGGCATAACAACACAGCACCCTGCAGTCCAGTCCCTCCTGTGTGAAATGCCTGCCCAGATGTCTTTTGTCCAAGAGTCTCCCCCTTTTCTCCCCTCTGTCCCTCCCGAATGCCCTCTCCTATGTTGTCCTCCTTCCTAAGGAAATCAAAATCATTCCTTGTTTTTACTCTGATACCCATCGTTATCTGGAGGAACCAGTGTCGTGTAATGTAGCAAGGGTTTGTCTCTAAACTATGTGGGATTCACAATATATTTCTTCCATAACTCAGCCTTAATCATGGGAGATACTTGTGTAAAATTATACACAGCATCGATTTTAGGAAGAAATTTCCATTCTTGCATTATGTCCATGTCTACCTTAGACACAGCTATGTCTTCATATAAGTAGGAAACTGTTAACTGTGTGAGAGGCTTCACCACC